ATACACTGAATACTTTAAAAAGTAACTTTCAAGAGTAGAAAATGAATGAAAAAATAAAGATCTGACATCCCTGCCTTTAGGAATTCCCAGTCTCCATCTTCAGTAGCCAATGAAGAGTCAATATGCTAACAGTACCAGATGCAACCTGATTACAAATCTGCATGTTTCCATCTCAGTGTTAAACATTTTACAGGATCACTGCTGGTTCTCCACTCCCTCCCCCCCCCCCCCCCCCCCCCCCCCTTTTTCAGAATATCAGTCCTTCAAGGTATGGGTACTCTATTTTTTCTATTCCATTGTCCATTTGATCACAGACAACCTTCACCATGTCTGATTTATCATAAAGTAGCTCAACACCCAGAGGAGTGATGTGGATAAGAGTTAAGAATGCAGACATGTTCTTTAGACCAAATAACAAGCACTAGGCTATTTAAAAAAATATATATAATCTGGCTATTGTGATGATTACAAAAATTTCCTAAATATTTTAAAATAACAAGATTTTTCATTTGTCTATCCAAAATTACTATGGGATTTCTTTATACATGTAGAAAAAACTACAGGAAGCCTTTATAACTCTCTACCTGAAAATACAATATTTTTTCATGGGAGACATCCAGTATTCCATCTATTCCACAGGACAGCAGGTTACTTTGTGCCCTGTTTATATGTTTTATTTACATTTAAATGTTTTATATGGTCGAATGGGGTTTCTGAGATTTGCTCCTGTTGGATCTGCATCCCAAAAATGGCTCCTTGACTCATTGAGGTGTTAATCTGTCAGGCACAAATCCAGAAAAGAAAAAAAATTTGACGAAACAGAGACAATATTATTGCAATCAAAGAGAATTAATTCTTCCAAATGAACAGCAGCTAAATGATAAAAACAATATATAATAATTTTATAAAGACTAAACACCAATGAATACCCTAGTATGTGTGCGATATATGCTTGCACTGCCTACTATTGCAGGTAGGCTCACAGTTCTGCAAGCAAAGTCATATCTCAGAGTAGCTGCAGACAAGAAGCACCTTCTGCATGAAGCCCTAAGTAGAGCTAAAGGTCATAGACTGAAAGGAATAAGGTCTTTGATGGCACAAGCTGACGACATAATTAGACATGTGTGCTGGCTAGATACATTTGGGCGAGGACAGGGGTGGGTCAAAGTGTGCGAGCATGAATCAGACTTGTGTAGGTTCTAATCACCGGTAAAGGCATGGACTGGGCCAGCTGGTGCTGTAGAATCAGAAGTTCAACAAATGATTCATTTCAATTCCTGCTAAGGTGATGTGATTATCTGTACTGATGGCTCTGTGTTCAGAGGCAGACAAAGTGCATGGAAGTTCATAGCAAAAGCGATGGACGTGCAACAAAGCCTGGCATATAATATCACAGTCTTGTTTGAGAATGGAGGTGGAGGCAGCCACTGCTGCCTTCCACTGGCTTGAGAATCAGCTGTTCACACGTCGTAATTGTAACTGACTCACAGAGCATGTTGAGTAAGGTGGAAACAGGCATGCTCCGTGCAGCGATCACTGGTAGTTAGCGTCTTTTGGATATTTTCTCCAGGTCATGTCAGTGTGTTGAGAAAAGAGCAGGCAGATAGACTGGCTGGTTCTGCACCACTTGGTGATGAATTGACATACGACAAGTTAGATGTTGTCAGGGCTCTTTGAACAATGTGGAGGCATAGATCATCACTGTCTGAGGAGAATGGCATTGCGAAGAGTTACCAGAAGATAGGGACGACACTAAACGGAAAGGCGAGACGGATTTACAATCAGTTACTGGTACCATTTAAACTGGAATTTTTAACTTGTTGCTGAAGATGGGGGACACAGCGCTTATGGGAGTGTCCCGAGTGCTGTGATGTCGATTCTTAATTCAGCATTCAATTTTTTAAGTATGAGACAAATAAACTATTTTTTTTAAAATGGAAAATAATTATTCATGTTGTCAATTTCTTTACTGCAACAAAGTTTCATGAATTCATTGATACATTTATAATAGAACGCACAGAAATCATATAAGTACAGCCTCCAAGTATACAGGAATCTATGAATACACCATCCAACTATTACAAAACCAAACATTTGTGTAGAATCTGTTTCTACATCGTGAGGTATTTAAGAATTACAGAAGCTCGCCCCACATTTGTATAGATCAATCACCACTTGACGTGTTCTGTGGTAAACATCATGCCATTAGCCTTTATTTTTCAAAACATTTTCTGTTACTAATTTTAAGACAACAGAGCCAGATTTGTCTCAAAATCTGTCTTGATGGGAATATGAACAAGTCGCCGTCAAGCCAAAAGGCAAGCATGACAAATACAAATGTACAGGCCATGAATTCTTCTAAAATTTTTCTTCCTCTAAGCTCTGGTGGAAAGTTTTGGTTGTTTGTTAACTTCTGGACTTTCGTCTTGTTCCAGAATTGAAGTTTGGCATGCAAATCTGTTTGACAGATCTGGCTTATTTAAATGCAAACTGTCGGTTCCTTGCCTCTCAGACGGATGCACTCAGAAGTAAAGTCCCCTAATTAGTCGCCTTTTACAACATGCATGTTAGAGGGGTGGTGGGTCTATTTTTATACCTCAGCAAAGTGTGTATCTGGCCATACAATAGATAACAAAATGGCAGTGAGGCCAGCATGGCAGTGGAAAACAGAATGAAAAAATGAATGTTAACGCTGACCGCCAGTGTGAGTGTCGAAGGTGTCATTTGTTGACAGCAGATTCTATGCTGTAAGTGGTAATACAAAAACTAATGCCTGAGATCAAGTCAAAAGCCTGTTATACAATCCTAGACAAGTTAGCTACAGTAGACAGTGCACACATGGGAACAGCCAACAAATGTTTTATGTTAAGAAGTGTGTTCTGCCCATCTAGTGGGACACAGAGGTCTCAGTAACCTGTAATGTAGTTATCTCAACCTAGGGAAGCATATTACACCGACTCATATGTGCTCAGTCCTCTGATGTAGAAGACGTGTGAACTAGGGCTGTACCGAATAGTGATTTTCACTATTCGGCTGAATACGAATAGCGGGACCAACTATTCGGCCGAATAGGAATAGTGTATAAAAAATATTTTTAAAAAAAATTAAAAAAAAAATAAACCACATCCATAATGTCAAATGTACGCTGAACTTTTACTTCACATAAAGTAGCACAGAATAGTCATCTTCTTCTTTAGCATTCTGAGCCCTTGAGGCTTACTGCTGCAGATATCACTTGTCTCCATTCATCTCTCTGGCTGGCCTTATCTTCACAATTTGTGACACCAGTTGTTTGCAGGTCTGGCTGGACATTATCTCTTGAACTTCTTTTTTGTCTGCCTCGTGGTCTACGCCCATTCCTCTCTCAGGTGTATACAGTTTTTACTTCTCTGTCATCTGACATTCTTTCAATATGCCCCAACCATTTTAGTCTGTTAGCTCTCATGGTGTCAGTGATCAGTGGTATTTAAACAGATTATGTGTTATATTGTTGCTTCTCACTCTCCAATCCTCCGCTGTTAGCATCTGTGATGGGTCCAGAGATAACATTTTATGTTTTGCATCCTTCAGTCAGTCTGTGGTAACTAATAACTAGGAATGAAAGAATCCTAAGTATTATAACAAGTAACTGGAAATTGTCACTGACAGCTTAGTTAATGCAGGAAATCTGCATTAGCTATAAACAAAACCAATCGTTCCATGTTGTCAGCGTTAAGGCCGTGTATGCAGAAGCGGGTGTAAGGTAATTACTATTCGTATTCGACCCGACCGCAACTATTCGGCCGAATACAGAATAGTCAATAGGTCCACTATTCGGCCCCGAAGCAAATATTCGGTACAGCCCTAGTCTCAACCCATGGAAGCAAATTACACCGACTCATTCATACTCCGTCCTCTAATGCAGCAGCCATCTCAATCCAGGGAAGCCCATTACATGGACTCATTCGTGGTCCGTTCTCTGATGCAGCAGACATCTCAGTGTCTCCATGCTTAATGTACCCTGTGGGAGCCGACTGGCGTTATCGTCCTTTTTTTGCATTGTCTCTGCATGCTTGTCTTTGTTTAATACCCAATTCCAACGGGTTGTTAAAGTTGTCAACAAAAAAATGTAGTTGCATCTGATGTTCTCAGTGCTCTCAAGAAGGCAGGACAAGTAGATGATTCAGAAGCGAGTGAATTGGTAGAATAGACAAGACTACAAAAACTTCAATTTCAAAAGAGGTATTGCCAAACATGAACACTATTCAGGTAGCAAAAAAAAAAAAGGAATAGTAAACCAACACAGAACTGGTGTCATCAGTCACCACACGCTGAGGGAGGTGCTGAAGACTGGATCCGAGTGCTTATGGACTTGTCTGATGTGCAACGAGCATGATGGGCTGATTAACTAGTTAACATCAGCCTTCCATAAGTAGCAGTCATTTTACTATTTTTTTGCTTCCAAATACAATTACAGTTAAGGCAAAAGTATAATTACATATAATCCAGCTAAAGGTAAGGAACTGTTATCTAATCTATAATCCCAACTAAGACATGAAATCATTTCCTATAATCTCAGCTAAGGCAAAGTATCATTTGCTCAGTGATCTAAAATAATGCCAGTTCTGATCAGTAACCTAAGCCAGTGATTCCCAAACTGTGCCCCGGAATATTCGAAGATACACAGGTTTTTTTTTTTTTTTTTTAATCTCTTACATACAAATAGTCATACATTAACTTAGGTTAGGGCATCGTGGACAAATTTTAATTTTAAAAAAGGCGCTGCAACTAAGAAAAGTTTGGGAAACATTTACCTAAGCAATACCAATGTTTTGATCAACGACTTAAACAGAGCCAGTGTATTTTTCAGTGACCTAAATAATGCCACCATTTAAATTAGTTACTTAAACAATGCCCATCTAATTAAATCTGTGGTTTAAATGCACTTCAGAAACAGTCCAAAACTGACTGGTACACAGCTAGATAAAGAGCAAAAATATACATGTTCAAAAACACAATTATCACGGTTGATATGGCTTCAACAAATACTCAGAGAACGCTTTGATACTATCAACACCTCGGACCTCCTCTGGCAATAAGGGCAGCTTTGTGATATGAAAATCCTCATATAAGTCAGTAATCTGTGGACATATGACCATATATATACAATATTTATTATGACTGAGCTAGAATAAATTAATATGCAACAACAAGTTCAACTTATCAAAATATTATCACAATAAAAGGTAAAGCTAAGATAATAAGTAAAGTAAAAGTAAAGAACCCCTTTCCACACCTTTAGGCGTATAGGGTATATAGGGCTAGACCTATATTTCTATATACTAAACAGCACAAGATAGGTGAGGAGGTCAGCATCACGCTTGCTGCCTTTACTTCCCAGGACTGCACCTGGTTCCCAGGACTGCACTGAAGGCAGAGTCCGAAAGCTAAGATGATGGTAGGGTTTATTGCTAGTGGTGTACAAAAGTAAAGGACAAAATAAGAATTATGATATAGTGTGTGAAGTAAGTAAAAGTAAAGGTCTCTGTACACGCCAGTGGCACATCGGGCATATAAGGCTTGACTCTTATTTTTGTAGAGTGATCGGCTGTCGATGGGTAATGGGGTCAACATGACGCCAGCCGTCTTTACTTCCCTGGATTTCACCTGATACCCATTAAACTCTGGGTTAACCTAGGAGCAAAGGTAATGTTTTGAAAAAAAAAAAAATCTGACACCATGCAAATTTAATCCCAGGACCATTGTATCCGCAAGTGAGCGTTTAGCTACTACATCACTATGACTCCCACATTGTGTAAAGCTATAGAAAAATAGAAGACATACTGTATGTGAAGCAATATGATGACAGGAGCTATGCTGACGTTTGTGAAACTACAGGACAACAGGTATGTGTGTGTGTGTGTGTGTGTAGGTGCACGCACATTTGTGTACCTGTGATATTTTAAGAAATGCATCATGCTCAAGAGGTACAAGTGTGTGTGTGATATATATAGAGAGAGAGAGACAGAGACAGACAGACAGAGAGAGACAGACAGACAGAAGCAACAGGACAATAACATATGCAGTGGTGTGTGAAACCAGAGGACAATAGAAGGCATATGTGGTGTGTGAAGCTAGAGGACAATGAGGCATGATGTTTTGTGTGTGTGTGTGTGTGTGTGTAAGTGTAAGGGCAGGAGTGAGGATGTGGTGTAGAAGCAAAAAGACATTAAGAGGCACGATAAAGTGCGTAATGCTATATTTGCTTCATATTCTTTGCGTTCACCGGCTGCAGACTCTGGCGGAAAGTTCTGGTTGTCCGTTCACTCCTAGACTTTTGTCTGGATCCAGAACTAGAGTTTTACATGTACATCCATTCTATAGATCCTGACTATTTATACGGAGACTGTGGATTCCTTGCCTCTCAGGCAGATGCTCATGGAGGTTTTGATGAAAATGCCCCTGATTAGATGCTTCCTACGACATGATAGTTAGGGTTGCAGTGGGTTCCTTCTTTGTTCTCCAAAATGAACCCCAGAACTTAAAAGGGGATGACGCAATATGAGGCACAATGGTTTGGGTCGGAACAAGTCAAAATTTATTAATGGATTGATAAATAACACTAGAGAGCAAAAATTGTGGAGAGTTAAGATGGTTTATGCAAGTTCCAAACTACTTTTAGATTATCTGAAGATTCACTACAAAACATCTAAATATGGCCAGAGCTTTCCAAACTGTGTGCCATGACAGAATAGTGTGTTGGCTGCAATTTGAAGTTGTGCTGCAAAAAAGTAAAGTGTCCCACTGCGCCCCACTTTTGGGATAGAGAGAATAGGCCCACTGCTCTCCAACAAGCATGCCAAAAGAGTCAACTAAATGGGGGCATTCTTTGAAGTCAGAATGCATCTGCCTGAGAGGCAAGGAACCTACAATCTGCATACAAAAAAGGTCAGACCTGTAAAATGAATGTGCATACAACACTTAGGTTTTGAAACAAGGCTAAGTCCAGAAGTGGAAGAACAACCAGAACCTTTTGCAGGAGTGCACAGCCGGTCAACATTAAGAAAAATTAGAGTGCACAAAGAAAATAAGATAGAGAAGATGGTGCCATATTGGACACATTTTCTAAATACATGGACTGAGGAAAGAAGGATGTTCAAGAAATTGTGAGCGCTATGTGATATACAATAGCCAAACAGAACAATGATCATGTATGTAAGTACGTAAGTTGTACCCCACCAGGACATCACACCAAGCGATAAACACCAGGTGACACAGAGTGCCACCATGCGGATGAGGATCACCCATGGAGAGTTCCCAGAAACCTCGTTCAGCCGTTAGGCCATATTTATGGCCCGGCTATTTTTAGGGCCCCGGCAAAAGCCAGGGTGGGGCTTCAAATAACAAACAATTGCATCCCACATGGGGATGGCTTGATTAGTATGATGATGATGTGTCCATATCTATTATAAAGGGTTAATTTACTAGCAGACTGAATTATTTCATAGGAAAATTATTTTTGTCTAAAAAGTGTCCCCAAAATGAAAAGCCTGGAAAGCTCTGATCTACAACATACCAGCAAGGAGGCTGGACATTTCTATGCTGTTCCCTGTTAGTTCCTACCTGGTCAAGATATTTAGCCTGAATTTTTTGCCTGGCTTCACACAAGCTGCATGGTTTCTCCCCCTTCCGCACCAAATTCAGCTGGTTGACAATAATATTGTGGGTATCAATGCCAAACTGAGCCAGCTCCTGCACAAGACGCTCTGTCTCATACAGAGACAGGAACTCTGCTATACACACGCAGATGAATGTGGTCTGGTCCTGTAATATTTCAAGAAATTCATCATCCTCAAGAGAATCAAATGCTTCAAAATACACACAATGGTGAGAAAAATAATGTAGATTTCATCGCTGTCTTAACATTCACTGGCTGCAAACTCTGGTGGAAAAATTGTGGCTGTTTGTCCACTCCTGGACTTTAGTTTTATTCCAGGAGTTGAGCTTTGCTTGCTCATCCAGTCTCCAGATCTGGCTTACTTGTGTGCAGACTGTTGGTTCCTTATGTCTCAAGCAAATGCATTCTAACTTGGAAGGAAATGCTGATCCTATCTACATTGGCCTCTCTTTTCTTTCTTAAGGACCGGGAGACAGTTCACGACTCATGTTAGTACATTGCCACAGGGAAGATGCATGCTCTCAAAACTTTAATTCTGATTTCCTTCTTCTTCTCTTCCACCTTGTACCTCAGCAAAGTGTCAGGGGGGAGATGCAACATTCGTTGCATATACTCCACAACTTGCATCTCCCCACAACGCTTAGCGGCATACGTGGAAGGAAAAAGTAAAAAGTAAGTAAGTAAGTAATATACTCCACAACTACTGACTGCATGGCATATCTCAACAGGTGCATTACTACAGAGTTTACATCAACATTTAAAAGAGCTCAAGTAGTTAGGTCTTGGTCAGATATGATTGAGCTACACAAGACAGAAGTCTGTACTACCTGTTTTCTGTTAACGCTGAATGTTAAGTGACAGATATGACAGATACCAAACCTGACAACCCATACCAAAGGAGCGCTTTGGAGAGGATTTTAGCTGATATAGCAAGAGGAAATGCAATCTTATGACTTCATGTTATGGCAGGGCAGACCAGGCCCTTCGTATTGATTGGCAGCTAGTCTAGGAGGAAAGCACAACTCTTCTTGCAGCTTCTACAGGGTGCTTTGTTTCAAACATACTGTTATTACCTTTCCTTCGGATGAAACAAGGCAGGCTTAGAAAGGGATCATGTTGCACAGGAAACACACGGTCTCTACAATACTGCCCAGGTTTTGTGCTATGGAGAAGAAGAACATTTCCCTGTCTCCCCATCGCACAATTTAAAACTATCGTCTGGAAAAACAGAAAGGTGACAACAACAATGATGCTCAAAATATACAGCCCTTTCATCTGGAATACAAAAAACATGTTGTCTCTTCTTACACTGTACATTTTACAAACTGAAGATTAAGATTCCTTACATACTAACTGTGTTATTTGGATACCTGTTTTATATGTTGATGTGAGTTCTGCAGTAGTGCAACTGACAAGATACAGCAAAAATTAACAAAATTAGGTGACCATTTTCATTCCAATGGGGCGTCAGACATATGATAATGGCACATGACAGGTGATGTGGTCAACGTCATGCTAGACACCTATATTTTTAAGGACATTTCCTGGCACCCACTTTGAGTTGTGTTCCCCGGATCATTTTTAGAAAATCCAACCAGCCAGCATGGATTCAAGCCACTATAAAGGAGAACTGATCAAATGATCTGGTTAACTACAAAAATGAAACCGTACCGCATTTTTAAACTGTGAGTTGACTTGTCGGATAGTAGCCAGCATCTCCTCAAACTTGTTGGACATCTGGTCTGCATTCAAATCTTGCATGCCAATTAAACCTGCCATCTAAAGACAACAAATCAAACTTATCTTCAGATTCTTATAACACATTACAAAAAAGAACTTAATTAATAAAAGTTTATAAAAAAAAGGATTTAGGATTGAAAAAAAAGACTAACGTTACTGCACCTGATTCTCTCTCTGCAAAATATCCAGCTGCCTGCTGAGTGTGGGGTCCAGGGTGGAGGAGGGAGAATAGCCCCCACTGTCTCTATATCAAGCATCTCAAATAATTAAATTAGTTCGCAATTTTTCATCTCGAATTAGAGCACATCTGCCTGAGAGGCAAGGAACCAGCATTCTGCATACACATAAGCAGATCTGTAAAACAGAGATACATGCAAAATTCAAGTTCTGGAACAAGCCTAAAGTCCAGAAGTGGACGAATAACCAAAACTGTTCTGCCAGAGTTTACAACTGGTGTTCACAAAGAAGAAAAACTCATTAGCTCCAGCAATAATCCACTAGGTATCTCCACAAAAACTACACTAGTGAATCAAATTGAATGACACAGTTAGTAAAACAAACCCACAACCGTAAAACTGTGTGGCAGACGCTGCAGCCATTTAGTCATGGTCACTACCTTCATAAAAAAATTCATTAAATTAATATTCTTCTTCTTCTTTTGTTTGGCGTTCACCGGTAGTAAACTCCAGCTTAAAAAGTTTTAGCTGTTCTTCTCCTTCTGAATTTTGATCTTGTTTCAGAGCTTGAGTTTTTCACACACATCTGTTTTAGAAATTTGATTCATTTGTATGCAAATTGTTGATTGCTCGCCCTCTCAGTCAGATGCACTTCAACATAGGATACAACCCTAATTAGTAACCTTATACGACAGTAGCCACTACAGTTTCGGAAATTTGCGATCTTTTCGACAATTTCCGTTACCATAGAAACCGTTTGAAACTTGTTTCGGAAATGTCGGCTGGGGTTTCGGGAAGGGTCCTAATCTCTCATGAAATCTAGCGATTGGTGTGATTTTCACCCACTCTAAATAGCTGAAAACGGCGGGAAGGAACTCGATTAACAGCGCATGTCTACGACAGCCGGACATCCTCTGTTTTTCTGTTAGTCTATCAGTTTGATTAAAAATATCGGTAAATTCGAGGTTGGCTTTAGGCTTAAACATTACCAGATGTGGTAATGCTAGTTATAATTGAATTCTCCGTCCAATTTTACATTTGTATATAAAATTTCTTTCCCGTTTTTGGCTGTTTAGATTTACAGTGACATTTTTTAGGCAATCGCATGTGGCTGAGTCTCATTGCCTGCCATCTTGTCCAATGACAGTCCAATGTCAACAAAGCCGATACAGAACTGCGCAGTAGGTTACGCAGAGAAAAACTTCTTGTTTCTGGGTCACAAGTTTTAGCGGCTGTTTCTTACATCTCATCTCCACAAAAACCTACATATCTCAGCTCAGAAATGACATACAAGCCTAAATGAGGTACCATTGGAAAGAGATTGTTTACAGCTATCTAACTGTGCTGGTTTTATTGGTGTAGAGGGAATTTCACTGAAGTAGCTAATGACAGGGCTGTTCAACTGGTGGCCCGCAGGTCAGAGTTGGCCCACCGAGGCCTAGCAAGTGGCCCACGGGTCACTGCCAGTTGTGATGTATTAATGATCTTTTTCCGTTGGAGACGATCGCTATTGTCAAAATTTTTGTCCCTGAGTGAACTTAGTTAATAGCCCTGTTATACGATTTACTTGTTTGGAGATGGGGGTGGCGCCAGTGAGTCTATCCTTTTCCCCCAAAAATGGGGCCTCGGAACACACACACAGCAAAATAAGTTCATAAAAGCAAACACTGTGAGGGTGTCTGAGACTTTAGAGGTTGTGCACAGTTTCACAATGCTGACACACCAAGGCTCCAAAGTCAGCTGTAACTGATTTGGTAGCCAACTGCTTTGTGCCAATTGTGAAATGATATTAGTGTCTTGCGGTTCTTCTTCATCGGACATAAACTCCAGAGGACAGTTCTAATTGCATGTCAACTTCTGGACTTTGGTCTTGTTCCAGAAAATGAATTCTGTGGACACATCTGTTTTACAGACGGGGTTTATTTATATGCAGACCATTGGTTCCGTATCTCTCTGGCATTTGCACTATAACTTCAAAAGAAAAAAAAGCCCTATTTAGTCGATTTCTATGACATGCTTGTTGGGGTTGGGAAGGGGGGTTTAGTGTTTTATAAAATGCAAAACCTTAAGCACAACATACCTGGCTGATAAAGGGGCTTATCTGATTCTTCAACCTCATGAGCTTGCCCAACCCCTTCTCCACTACAGATGGAAAAGACAGCAGGCGGAGGGTGTGGCCAGTTGGAGCTGTGTCAAAAACAACGACTGAAAAATTCATGTTCTTCACCAGCCTGTGAATTAGGAGAAGGAAACAAGCAAAAAGTATTACAATTATATTTACAACAACAGAACAAAAAACAAAAGCAAATGCATTTTGGTAAATAAAAAAAATTTAAAAAAATCTATTAGCTTACAATATTATATTGAAACACTGTTACACATATGAATTTTTATTTTTCAGTAAACAGTTGCATAGCTTCATCAGTGACAAGTAATCCCCTTTGGGGTGAACATTTCAATTTTCTCCTATATAGGCCAAGACTGCAGTATCTACTTCCCTGCCTTGTGTTTTTTTAATCAATAACTTTTTATCACCGACTTCTGCTTTTCTAAATTACTAGACAAAGATGCTGTCTTACAGTTTTGTGTTCTCCAGGTCAAGTTCATTATCATCATCATCAGCATGCAGAACAGACCCACTGCCTGCCCAAAAGCATGCTGTAAGAGTCAACTAACTGGGAGCTTTCTTCAAAGTCAGAGCGCATCTGCCTGAGAGGCAAGGAACCAACAGTCTGCATGCAAATGAGTCAGACCTGTGAAATGGATGTGCACAAAAAAACTGTTTTTGGAACAGGATCTGAGTCCAGAAGTTGACAAACAACCAGAACTTTCTGCCAGAGTTTACAGCCGGGGAGCGCGAAGGAGGAGGAGAAAAATCAGCATGCCCTTTACAGAACACTGCTTTCTTCTTGGCACGCCTAAAGGTCTCTTTTTTGTATCTAGCCAATTCTCTAGCCCGGTGTGCCCTCACAGCCAGTGCATCTCCAACGTCTTGCATCCACCCTTGCGGAGGTCGGCCTCTACCTCGCCCTCTGGAAACAGCATCCTCCATCACCACTCTCTCCACCATAGCACTTGACATGTCCAAAATACCAAAACTTTTGGGAGAGGATGCTGTTTACAAGCTCAAGTTCAACCTACCATTAATAGAGATAAAAAGCAGTATCTGATGTCTGTAGTACATCAGCTTCTTCCTCTGCTGTTCTTGCTTAGTATTTACCAACATGGGGGCTAAATTAATTTGCTTCTCCAGTTATCCCCCATAAATAAGAGTCAATGCATTTGATTTAAATTAGTAACAGAAATAAACTTTCACTTTTTCTTCTTCTTTACGTCCTCTTTTACCACTACGAGTGTCGAAAGGTGATATAAGATCCTGCTTCGTGTTCTTCTGGCTGCTTCAACCATAGAAACATCATGGTGCTGTAGAGTTTCTCCGATGTTATTTTCCCATTTTGTTCTTGGTCTACGCCCCTTTCCTATTTTGGTAAATGCCCTGCATGGTATATCATCAGGAGGAATCACTTATGACTAAAGAAATGAATTTGTGCAACTCACCTCATCACTTCAGCAAAACTCATTGCTTCATCTATGCCAGGAAAAGCTCCCAGAAGCTCCTGAACCATGCCTCGACCCATGGACATCATATCAGCTGCCAGGTGACACATATCACACAATCAATGAGACTTTGTGACACTCAGATAACACATATGACACAGTCAATGAGACTTTGTGACACCCAGATAACACATTTCACACAATCAATGAGACTTTATGACACCCAGATAACATATCACACAATCAATGAGACTTTATGACACCCAGATAACACACATCACACAATCAATGAGACTTTGTGACACTCAGATAACACATATCACACAATCAATGAGACTTTGTGACACCCAGATAACACATTTCACACAGTCAATGAGACTTTATGACACCCAGATAACATATCACACAATCAATGAGACTTTATGACACTCAGATAACATATCACACAATCAATTAGACTTTGTGACACTCAGATAACATATCACACAATCAATTAGACTTTGTGACACTCAGATAACACATATCACACAATCAATGAGACTTTATGACACCCTGATAACACACATCACACAATCAATGAGACTTTATGACACCCAGATAACACATATCACACAATCAATTAGACTTTATGACACCCAGATAACACATCACACAATCAATTAGACTTTATGACACCCAGATAACACATCACACAATCAGTGATACTTTATGACACCTAGATAACACATCACATCAACCAGATAACACACATCACACAATCAATGAGACTTTATGACACCCAGATAACACATACCAAAAATATTGTTAGATAGACAAATAGGATGGTTAAGTAAACAGACAACTTTTACAACAAGATTTGTTTTTAAAAAAGGAAAGAAGTATTACAACAGAAAAAGACATGGGAAAAAAAAGAATAGAACAAATTCCAGACTACCACTAGTAATAAACCTATCCACAGGTCACCATAAATGACAATAATTAAATTTAATGGAGATACACAGTGGAACTCCAATATTCATCCTTGTTGAAACTTGTCCCCCTTTTCACGTTGAAATTTTTGGTTTATATTTGCCCCAAAAGTCAATATTCATTTTTCCTACTGCGTACTGGCAAGCATCAGACAAGGAAAATAAAAAATGATGGACCAGTTCCAAGTGTTGAAATTAAGCAATGGGTATCCACTTCGACAAAAATGCAGGTTTTCATCGAGAAATGGCACCCAAACATCCCTACCGTTAATAAGTGTTATCAAATTAATTTGACAACAATGTTTCTGGAAATTTTCAGAAAATGTAAAAAGAAAATGGATAACTTTTTCAAAGAAACGAGTGCTGATGACACATCTAGAAATGCTGATATTATAAAGACATGAATAACAGAAGTGACGTTACCTAATGTCATAATGAAAAATGCCTTCCATTCCAAACAATAGCCACTGCTTTGTTTTTTTCCCCATCCAAAAGGTACATTTCTTTTAAAAGTTTTATTTATGTAGATCTAAAACCAAGTATATTTACATCATTAGGGGGAATGAATCTCTGACAAATTGATAAAGCAATAAGTACAGTGGATAATATGTAATTCATCATCAGTTCTCGTTATGCCTAGTAGCACATGAAGCTTCAGAGAGGACTTTCCATGCTTTCCTGTCCTGTGCAATCTTCAGCGCAGTTTTCCATGTCAAAGATGCCGCACTCAGGTCACTTTCCATCGTTCGTCTCCATGTTGTTTTTGGGCGCCCCTGTTTTCTCTTTCCCTCTGGTGTCCATGTGAGAGCTGTTTTGGCAGGTATATCAGAAGTCATTCTCATAACTTGGCCAAGCCATTTCCATCTTCTCTTGGTAATCATACTGTCTAAAGTTTCTTGGTTTGCGGCTTGAAGTAGTTTAGTGTTTGAGATTGTATCTGGCCAGAAAATTTTCATAATTCTACGTAGACATGTGTGGTGGAAGGTGGACAGCTTGTGTGCATCCTTTTTGGTCATTCTCCAGCATTCCGCTCCATAAAGAAGAACTGGCAAAATGATGCTCTTGTAGAGTCGGAGTTTCTTTCCTCTGCAGTAATTGTTGGATTTCCAGATTTGCCTCATCCTTCTAAAAGCAGCTCTAGCTTTGTCCCAGTAGGGACACCTCACTGCTAAGATATGTGAAATGTTCTACATTTTTAAGTGATTGGTTACTTATGGTCACTGGTTGTTGGTTTGGACTGTTTGTCACAATCTTAGTTTTCTTTGTATTTATTCTCAGTCCCACCATTCCTGCTGTGCAGTTTAGTCTGTTACTTTTCTCTTGTATAATACCAAGTATATTTACGTCATCGGAGGAATAAATCTCTGACAAATTGATAAAGCAATAAGTAAAGTGGATAATATGTAATTAATATGTATTTATGAAGATTTCCGAGACTGATTTTTTTTAAAGAATAGATGAGCACAAATCAGGGCAGGAAATGGATGAAACCATTTTTAGTTAATTCCTATGGGAAAAACATGTTTGACGTTCGTCTTGTTTAACATTTGTCCTCCTTTCAGGAACCGATTAATGGTGAATATTGGCGTTCCACTGTACATGAGGGGTTCTTCACCATAATCAAATAATTTTACATTTATAACAATAGATTTTAACAGATAGATGTAACTAGAGATTCCCATTTTTTTAGAAAAAAAAAGAATAAACTCATTGCCCTATTAACAATCATGTCGTAAAAATAACATTAGAGGTGCTTCCTTCAAAGTTGGAGAGCATCTGCCTGAGAAGCAAGGAACCAGCAGTCTGCATACAAATCAGTTAGATCAACTTCTTCAAGCTAGATCCGTAAAATGGTTGTTTGCACAAAACTCAAGCTCTGGAACAAGATCAAAGTCCAGAAGTGAACAAACAACCAGAACTTTCAGCCAGAGTTTACAGATAGATGGTGAACAATAAGGAGAAGATGAAGATAACAATAAAGAAAACTGTACAGAAATTTCACACACACACACACATAAACCAGGAAAACGTTTTACCTTGCTCATAGTATTCATCAGGCAGCTCAGAAAATCCTAGGTTGGGATCAATTTCCTAAAAACAGAAACAAAATAATGGCTCTTACTACGTGGCTCTTTAACATATCACATATTAAGAAAACAGGATATTATAATTCTCTGTATATTTAATGATACTCACAGAATACATTTTACCATTTGTAAGAAATGCGCACTACATACTAATATACATTACTAAGTTTTGTTTTGTGCTGAATAAAAAAATAAAATAATAATAATAACCTTGTTTAAAAATTATGTGGCATGCTAAATACAGGCTCATATTTTACAATCAACAGGCAATCAATAGGTAAGGGGTCTCCGTGGTGAAGTAGTTAAGCTCCCTGTCTCATGCTCTGAAGGTCAGGAGTTTGCTTCACTGACAGGTCATTTAGTTGATGGGCGCAATTTTTAAGAGATCACTGACAGTTGCTGGAACTACAGAGTTCGTGCTCTGTTCAATGCTCTAGGTAGATAGCTAACCATTCTGTGAAGAGACTTAGCATAGCTGCAAGAAATTCACCTGCTGGTCTGAACTTTTTGGGTTGCAATCACTGAGTCAGATTCTTTCAAAAATGACATTGCCTCCAAAGTCAGCCCAACTGAAAAAAAAAAGGGTGCTAGGTAAAGTTGGTCGATGTGATGCTGATCACATCACACCTGAGTGTCGAATGATCTATAAGAAATATGAGTTAAGCATCATGTGCCAGATAGGCCACTGAAGTAAAAAAAAAGTCTTTTACATTACTTTTTTTTAAATTAAAACAAAAACCCAATGGTAACCACTGGTCAATAAAACATGTTTTCATAAACCCTAAAGGCTGGAAAGTTCGACTAAATTCAAAGAAAATGGAGGAAAGCGTAATCAAATAGTGAATAGGGAAGGGGTGTGATGGAGGTAAAAATGAAGGTGTGGAGAATAACTACAACAGGTTTGAACTCAATACCCAGAGGAATTTGAAATTATGACAACACATCTTTGTTCTTTACCATTGCATATAAATTGTTGAAGCCCTTGACTAATGATGGCACTTTGGAGAACTTCTGGCTGAAAGCATCTGATATGTTGTGTGCTGGATCAGTTGAAATTATCAGGACAGACTCTCTCACTTTTGCCAGCTGTACAGCCAGACAACAACTGAAACAAGCAATATTTTGGTTGTAAAATACATACATACTTTATATGTCAGGTCAGGTCTTAGTCAGATATGACTGAGCTACCGTATAACAGTAGCCAGTACCACCTGTCTTCTGTTACGCCAAATGTTGGGCTGCGTATACTAACCAAACAACCCATATTATGCCAATAGCTTCAGGCGGAGAAACGCATTGGGGGAGGATACTAGCCTTATCCTAGATTGCAACCTGAAAACTGTGTTATGGCAGGGCAGACCAGGCCTTCGCCTTGGCTGGCAGTTGGTCTAGGAGGAAAGCTCTGACAGGCGAACATATAGAGCACTGCTCTTCTGATCTGCCTCGTTCCAAACGTACTGGTTTTACCTTTCCTTTGGAGTAAACAAGGTAGGTCGAGGGAGGGATCCTTATGCATGGACAACATATGGACTCTGCAATACTGCCCAGGCTTTGTGCTATGGAGCGGAGGAACTTCATCCCTGGCCTTAATCGGTCTCAGAAACAAATTTAGAGGCAGCAGTTACGGGTTATAAGTCCTTGTCAGCTGGCGTAGACAGGGGCACCACGGGTTGCCTCTGACAGTAAGAGACATCTTCGAATGTCACTGATCAACTATCGCCCACCTCAAGCTGGGCAGCCCCCAGCCAATAAGGTTTTGATCTGCCACAGCTTGTATGCTTCAATGGGTGCTTGGAGCTAGGACAAAATCCGAACTGCAGGCTGTAAAACCAATGCACCAGACAATAAAAAAGAAACAAGAAGGTTGTTAAAAATGGTCCTGAAATCCCATGCTATCATTGTGGAAGACTTTTCTTGACATGGGCGGGTCTTGCTAGTCACACTCGTCATCCCCATGGGCTGTGAGACTCATGCCTCCTCATAGAGCAATATAACACTATCCTCTGGAAAGACGGAAAGGTGCCAATGATTGTATGTATCTTGCATCCCCTACAATTCATAACCTACACTGATTATTTCTATAAAGAAACCAGCCAAACAAGGACCGACTGCAATGCCTCAAGAAGAACACAATTCTGAAAAGGAACAAATGCAAAATAACATCATCAATGAAACAATAAATTTAATATACTTTGGAAGCAGAACTGTGAGATCACATTAAACTAAGTGTGCAAGGAAACTAAGAAAAATTAACACAAACAAAAAAAACTTTTTCTTTGAGTTCGGTTTCGTATGCTCAGATCAGACCATCAGGTGGGTAGCCTCTATGAACTCGCATGTCAGTAGCAGGTTCTTCATGGTTCCCCATAGCTTGCTCGACACACTTTGTTATGGGGCCAGGTGTCTTTTCAAAGTTTTAGGTAGAGTGGGTAGGTCTGCAGAATGTGCTCAGGTGTTTGTGGTCCTATTTGACAGGCACACTGTGGAAACTGTACAAATCATTATTTTATGCGTGTAGTAGATGAGCCTGCAGTGTCCTGTTAGTAGACGGAAAAATGTTGTATGTTGCTTTCTGTTGAGTCTGTTGATGCGGTCTTGTGGATGTTTACTGTAAACAAAACAAAAACACCCCCCCCCCCCAAAAAAAAAATAATATCCAACTCACAAAACAGTGACTGAAACAAATGAAGAAATTCAGGCACTCAGAAAGAAGAGTATCCTGGGAACATTATAAGATAAAACTGGTGACAGATGTCACAGTAAACCAGCTTATTGGACAAATTACACAAATACTGTAAAACAAAGATATAATTAGCAGACACCAAAAAAGCACAACTTCAAGTCATGAGTCGCATAGTCGTGGATGTGGATGAATGTCAGTCCCACAGTGAAAACCACAGACACCGATTCCAAGAAGTTATGGTAGAACTATTGAGACAGTTGTTCTGGTGTTTGTATTCGTTCTAGTCGGAAATTTGTTTCCACTTATCTTCTACTTTCAACGAGGGATGCCCTGTTTGTGTTGTAAATTATTTTCAATTAAAACTACTTCTACTAAGAGTAAAAAAGTAAAGATGAAAGAAAAAAAAGTAAAACACTATCGAATATTATATGATCCACACAAAAATTTAGAAAAATAACCTAAACAACTTACCTCGATGTTGTTTTTCCTACACCACCTTTGCCTCCAACGAATATCCATTTTAAACTGGTCTGATCAATAACATTTTGTAACGTTGGTTCGTAAGATAAAACGTCACCAGACTGTGCCCCCTCCATCTTAGTTTGTTTCAGGGGAAGTAATTTTGACTTAAACATAGGCCGTGTTATGTTAACAAGAGTGGTCCCTCGCTTTATGTAGTTCTAACAAACAAATAAATAACTTGGGGGAATCCTTGAAGCCACGGAAACAGTTACAGTTCGTTGCGTGTCTTTACAGGACATTGCAGAACCAACCCCTGTATTTTTTTGGCTCTTGTAGTTTTTCTAGGCAAATTTGCGTTTAGCATTGTTTTCTGGTCGGTCAGCTTCTCGATACCACTGTGCGCAGCTGGGATCGAACCCGGTGCCCCGGCATTACGAGGCACTCTCGCAACGCCTAATCCACAGACACGACACAGAGAAAGTATAACAAATTATCATTGCTGAATAGCACGATCCCCCCCCCCCCCCAAAAAAAAATATTGTTTAAAGGACGCACTAGACAGCATACATTTCTAAAGTTTAAAAATTACCATGCCAGGTAATGAACCTGACACCTTTGCTGCGCGCTGATTTGGGTAAAGTGTGATAGTGTGTGTGAAGGGCCAGTACTTTCTCTGAGTTCACGGGGGGGGGGGGGAGGTGGGAATAGTGTCAACTTGGTTACGCGTGGGTTACGGTGTAGGGGGCTGAAAGCATGGTTAACGAGATAAACAGAGAAAGTGTGAATTAAGTGACAGTGTGATTCTCAGGTAACATCAGCCACCCGCATAAGTGTGATCCTCGAGAACGCTTATATGACCGTGAGTCTCGAGAACACCCACAGGATCATGATTCACGTGAATGCCCATACGAGCGTGCCTCTCGTGTAGACATTATCCACCTACACGGATTTGAGGGGGATAAATTGGAGGGCTGAGTAGCCATTCGGGGGTAATCGCGAAGCGAGAGTCAGAGACCAAGTCAGGGTCCGTGATATCTCTCGCAAGTCTAACAGACTAGAATACCGTACGACTATCAGGCATTTAGGTCTGAGTGAGTGTTGGGGTTACGGTACTGAAAATATGGTCCCGCTGGCAAAGTAAGTCCAGGGGACGGAAGGCCAGTAGTACCTGGTTTCGGAGTACGGCAAGAGGAGTCCGTCTCCGGTCAGCCGTGTTGTATGCTGAATTAATATCAAGGTCCAGTGAATGGGAGAAGGCGTCCTGTTCAGCTGTACGACGCGTCCAGAGAGTGGGACGCTGTAGTCCTTGGAGCTGTAGCAGTCAAGGAGAGACCGCTACAAATTGAGAGATAGAGAGCTGTGAGGACAAATGGACGATGTGCGAATGTCAACTGTGATCAATAACTACGTCTCTGCATTTGTCATGTATCTTGTTAAATAAACATGTATGACGGTGTCATCGTCGTCGAGTTCTATTTCTAAGAGTGGAAGCGGAAGAGTACCTGCTAAGACACTCGGTAGTGTGCTGACTCATTTAGCACACAACAACCTTCAAATGACAGTGTTTCGCCCATTTTTATGCAAATAATTGAATCTGGTAATTTTAGTTTCAGCTTCATAGCAAACGGGTCACCCAATATTTGCTCCGCTCCTGTGCCAACGAAAAACACACATAATGTTTATCCCAGTCTTTTGCGGAAAGATTGACAAACTGCTGTCCCAGCATATCTAGCTTACACACGCATTAAAAGCATACAGTAGCCATCCGAAGTGCTAACACAAATAGTCCGACATTAGAAATGCAGTTCATCAAGAATGGTAGCAGAGGTCACCAACAGATCAGCAGTTGCGTCAAATAATATAAGCCTGTGGACTGCGTCCTGAGGACCCAAAAAGGGGTATAGTCCGTTAAGAGTGAAAAGCTCAATATACACGTGTGAGGGTAAGCAGTCACATGCAAGACGTGACGATTCATTGGGCGATCCTAGTAGCAGTGTCGTTATCAGATATGCATTTATGGAGAGCTTGTTTGGATGACAGGGCATGACACTGTTATGCCCCTACCCCCCCCCCCCCCCCCCTTTCCCGGAACACATCAGTCTGCACATAGCTTCCCTGGACGGGTCCTACAGGGGGCAACATCTATGGATCCAGTGATGTCAAAATCCCCACACAAATGACGCTGTATAATGTGCCACAATCTCCCATGAAGCTAACAGGGAAGGCTAACGCGGACAACAATGCCCGACAAAATCGAATGTAACGGCTAGGGGCTCCAGCCACTTGACCTCCTCTTTTATTTTGGTAAAGGAGGGGGGGGGGGTTTGATCTCTTTAACTATGTTCTTTAACTATGTGCAGAAATGCCCTGCAATTGTCTTATTCGCTTCACATTATTTCAACTGCATTATCATATTTATTTGCCATTCAGCATTTTAATAATTATTTTTTTATGCTCTTAAGCTACGATTATGCCCCTTGACTACCTTTCAATTTTGCCTTGACAAAATGTGTGCTGGCGAAGGTTCAGTTTGTCCTTGACTTACTGACTGACTTTCTACCCCACCAGGACATCACACAAGCGATAAACACCTGATGACACAATGTGCCACCATGTGGGTGAGGATCACCGTGGAGAGGTCCCAGAAACCGCGTTCAGCCTTTCTCTTCTCTTCTGCCTTTCTATCCCCCAATGTAACATAGGCCCTCAACCAACTCACGCTAAGTCGTTCTATCCTTCGCCATTGCATGGAGCTCTCCCCATGTCCTCCCAATCTTTCTAACCTCGTTCTCCAGCTCTCTTCTCCATGTTTTTTTTTTTTTTTTGCCTTCCTTTATTCCTATGCCCCTGTAGGTTCCAATGCAAAGACATTCTAGTTATGCTGTTCTCCTGTTTTCTTAGTGTGTGCCCTATCCAACGCCAGCGTCTTTTCCTCACTTCCTGATCGACTGGAGCCTGTTTAGTTCTCTCCCAAAGTTTTAAATTAGTTATTCCATCATACCATTTTATTCCCTCTATTCTGCGCAGGCACCAGTTAATGAATTTCTGTAATTTATTAGTAATTGCTTTGGTTGTTCTCCATGTTTCCGCCCCATACAATAGTACGGATTTGACATCAGAATTAAAAAATTTTGGTTTAGTATTTCTTTTAATTTCTTTTGACCTCCACAAATTACCTAGTGCAATGAAAGCCCCTCTTGCCTTTTGTATTCTTATTTTAATATCTCTATAAGTTCCTCCATCTTTATCTACATTACTGCCTTAATAGGTGTACAACTCCACGTCTTGGAGTGGGGTGCCATTAAGAGAAACCACATTACTATTTGCCTGATTTATTCTCATTATCTTTGTCTTTCCTTTATGGATTTTCAGACCAAGCTGCTGTGATCTCGCATTAAGTATATTTAATTTATCTTGCATCTGATTCCGTGAATGGGACAGAAGAGCAATATCATCAGCGAAGTCCAGATCATCAAGCTGTTTTGTAGGGGTCCACTGAATTCCATTCTTGGTGTTTGCTAGAACTTTCCATAATAAATTTCAATACTGCTGCAACACCTGGTACTTATTAGAGACCGTAACCGAGAACTGTTCCTTAATTTCTTTATCTCTGAGAAAGCCTACATTATCGTTCAGCCTTTAGGCCATATTTATGGCCAGGCTATATTGCGGCCCCTGGCAAAGCCAGAGTAGGGATTCAAATAACGAAACATTTCATAATAAAAAGGACGGGAGGTAGCTTCCCGTAAGTCCTCTTTTAGCGAACCTGGTGTCAACAGAAAGGCACATATACCACAGCTATGCTGAAAACAGTTACAGCGCATTAAAGTCCCTCCAACGGACAGGTAATCAGGCAACCACAGTTCCAACTTCAGTTACCCCCCCCCCCTTTCCCCACCCCCACCCATAGTTGCTCCAATCCTGTGCCAACAAAAACCATACAGAATGTCCATCACTGTCTCTTGTGGAAAAATGACACAGATTGCAGTCAACAACAAATTTCTTGTAATAGAAACGTTGGTCTCTCAATGGATCGCCTATATACACACTAACTCACTCCCGATTGGTCAACCCTCAGCCTAGCTCACTTCTGATTAGTCCGCCTTGAGCCACGTGACGTTGGCATGAGGTGGTGGGTGTGTCTCCCCTCCCCCCAATGCCGTTGATATCGTGTTCTATATTTCAGCATTCTAGCGCCTTTAACACTACAAAAAACATGGACAAACTGGGTCTAACAATCCCCCTTTAGAGAGGTTAATAAAACCTATGTCACAGGCATTCTCTTTCTCGGAAAAAAAAAAAAAAAAAAAAATAGCAGATATCACAGAAAGAGCACACTCATAGCGTCCAGCAAGGTAGACCAGTCCAACAAAGTTATTCATGTAATGTGACCTACTTTCTCTGGGAGGACTATCGTAAAACTAACCAAAATCCATTAGCATACTCATGTATTCAATTAATAAGACAGTACCAAACGTGCCAACACAAACAGTCAGGACACTAGAAATGCAGTCCATCATCCATGGAAGCAGAACAGATCTGCAGTTGCTTACATGATTTATCACATAAGGCACAACCAGTTATGTGTCAACCTGACCTCTCACCATGTCGCACAATGCACTCAAATAAGTAGTTGGCTAAGGAACTATTCGAATAAACAATGAAGAAGAGGAGGACATGTGTGTCATAGTGTCGTTTCAATAATTATATATTTACGCAGAGGGCGGGGGAGTTATGAGGTTTGGAAATAAGCTTTTCTCTCTATTCTTCTTCTTCTTCACTTCCTCTTTTACCGCTGTGGGTGTCGAGGGAGATATAAGGTTCTGCTTCTAGCTCTACTGGCTGCCTCGACCATAGGCACATCGTGCTGTTGTAGAGTTTCTCTGATGTTATCCTTCCATATTGTTCTTGGTCTACCCCGTGCTCTACGTCCTTCTTCTCTTTCCATGTATGCTTTGTATGGTATGGTGTCACAAGGCATTCTCTCTAAGTGGGCAAACCATTTCACTTGCTGTCTTTGTATGTAATCCAGAATTGGTTCTGTGCCGACTTGTTCTCTTATGATCTCATTCCTGATCTTATCTCTTATGGTCACTCCTACAGCCCTTCTCAGACATCTCATTTCCGTGGTTAC